AAATCTTAAGCCCTAAGCCCTAAGCCCTAAACCCTACACCCTAAGACCCCAAGAAGCCCCAATCATCTCCTGGGCATCCGAACCCATGGCCATGGAAGCTCCTGTTCTGTCGGGCTGTCTCTGGCGTCTACCGTTTATGGCTTACGGTTTAGGGTTTAGGGCTTGCGGTTTAGGGTTTAGGGCTTGGGGTTTAGCGTTTAGGGTTTAGGGCCAGAAGGGATTTAGCAATTTTTATGGGAGTTTCCGAATAAAAAGGGTGTACCTTCTTTTGGGATCCTTATAATAAGGATCCCGACTATTTCAGGTACTATATTAGGGTCCCCAATGTTCGGACACCCCCATTTAGGATTTAGGGTTTCAGGGCTTTGTGTGTAGGGGTCCCTAAACCCTAAACCCTAAACCCGGATTTAAGGCTTTCGGGATCCTCTAGGAGTCTTCGTTCAGGAGGTTCCAATAAGGCTGCCATGAGAGTCTAGGGAGTGTTTAAGGGCTTAGGGTTGGGTTTTTCGGGACCCCCGGAACCCTAAACCCTAAACCCTAAACCCATAAACCCCTAAACACCTGAACCCTAAGCCCTAGACCCTAAACCCTGAACCCTCCGTTTCTAGCGTTTATATGGAGTTTAGGGGAAGGCTTTACTGGGTAACTCGCTAATTCGGGCTTCGGAGCTTTGGACTTAGGGTTTAGGGTTCAGGGTGAGGTTTCGGCTTTACGTTCTAGACGTTTTAAGAGGTTGAGGGTAAGATCTGGCGGCAACTTGTCAACGCCTGTGCGCAAGGCAGCGAAGTTGAGCTATACAGGCACCTGGTCAGTGGGGACAGCTGTCCGGAGTACACTCCCTGGGGCCCGAACCCTAGAGTCTATGCGGTTTAGGGTTTAGGGTTTTACGGCTAAGGGCCCCTAAACCCTAAACCCTAAACCCTAAACCCTTAAGGGCCCCAGGCATTACACCGGGAAAGGCAGATGCCCAGGCAACCTTCCAGATTGCTTACCGCTTGCAGGGAGGGCTTGACATGCACTCGACGCGCCGGTGCAGAGCAAGCCCTGAGAATTCCGTAAACTGCGACAGAGGACAGCATGGACCCAGAAAGCCCAATACTCCTCAATTAAGGAATATACCTTAAGTTATAGGGGCCTTAGTATTGAGATTTAAGGTATATTCCTTAAGGAATATACCTTAAGTTATAGGGGCCTTAGTATTATGATTGAAGGTATATTCCTTGATTAAGGGGTATTGGGCTCTCTGGGGACTGCCTTGGAGTCGCAAAGGGATGAGCCGGTGACTCTGACGCTGAGCTTCTCAGGTCAGAACACCATCAAGCCCCACCCTGCTGCTGAAAACCGACCGAAAGGCTGCATGTACCTTTATAGTAGATACCTAGGCCTTAAAGGGGTCCCTATATAGGTACTTTAAGGCCTAAGTATGAACTGTATGGGCACATGGAGCCTTAGGGCGAAATACTTATATAGGGGTCGAAGTCATCGCTGATAAGATCCTCTAATGTCAGTATGATCTCCCATATAGTGTACGTCAAACCCCTATTCTAATCATTCAAGATTTTTAAGGCCTAAACCCTAAACCCTAAACCACTAAACCCTAAACCCTAAACCCTAAACCCTAAACCCTAACCCTTTAAGCCCGATATTGAGTCATATTTCCTGTGAACTGAAGTGGCGTTCTTGGCTGACCCTGCTGTGCCACGAGACAGGAAGCTCTGCTCGCTGTCCGGGTCTCAGCCTCGAAAGGGCCCTGGGCCAGTCCTTCAAAAGAACACCTTCATTCTAAGGTAGAACCCATGGGCCCCTTAACCCTGGGACCCCTAATATACCTACTATATACCCTATATATATATATATATGTTAGGGGCCCATGGGTTCAACCTTAGATTCATGCCGGCTTCCCGAATTATGGTTTTTGTGGGATGGGTTGACTTTTTTTAAGAACCATCCACAAAAAAACACATGCATGCAACGATGGTCTGAAAAGTGCTCGAAACGAGAGTTGCTGCGATCAATTGGAACCAAAGTCGAAAACAAAACAGCCTGCAGTCGGCAAGGACTGGCGGCTGGAAAGACGGAAAGACCGAACTTCCTAGCTGCTGCTAGGGGCAAGAGATGGCCAAAGACGCAAAAGAACGGCTTTTCGGCAGGTCCGGTCACGACCGCGCATCACATCTGCGCACACGGCCCGCATCCCCTAAGCTGCACGACGTGCCGAAGATCCTCCAGCAACTCCTCTGCAGCCGGCCTCCGGGTGGGGGCGACATGCCACGCCGCCTCCATCAGAGGGCGCAGCCTCGGGCTGCACTCCGATGCCAGAGGCCGGGGCTCACCACCCTGTCTGAACTGCTCACGCAGGGTTTTGCACGGTAACCCAAGATGGTGGAACGGGATGCGACCTGAGCTCATGAAGTAGACGATCAAGCCGAAGGCGTAGATGTCGACTTTCTCGTCGTAACACCCGTGGCGCATGACTTCCGGGGCCATCCATCGGGTTGTTCCGATGCCGCCCGTCATGTCGTAGTCGTCAGCCTCCGCCAGCATTCGGCTGATGCCGAAATCTGCGACCTTCACCTCATTGTGCTTCGTGAGGAGCAAGTTCATGGGCTTTAAGTCCCTGTGGATCATCTTCCGGGAGTGTAGGAAGTTCAGTGCCCTGGCGACGGCACAGCTCCACTCAACGACCTTGGCGAGGCCGGGTCGCCAGAGATGCACATTGCGAGTCTTGCGCTGAGTCTCGTAGTAGTGCTCGAGGTCGCCTCTGGGCATGAACTCCGTCACGCACATGATGGGCCTGTTTGGCTCAAGACAGGCTCCGAGGAACATGACAAGATCCGGATGGCGCATCGATGAAAGCACGTCGATTTCGTGCAAGAGATCGTCTGTGATCGCTGGTGCCTCCTCCGGCAGGCCTTGCGAGCTGCGTGATGGACTACAGTAGTCGATACCCCCCAAACCTCACTGCTGGCTTCTTCAATCTTCTTCGTGCATCTATGATATATCTTAGCAACCCGAGTTCTGAGGAGCTGGCTGCAAAATCCTTCAGCATTCGCCTCCAACTCTTGTACTTTGATCTACTTCCCCCAACATGCATCCCGGATCCTCCAAATATAGCGGCCTTAATGAATAGACCAAGCTGGGGTTTAGGGTTTAGGGTTTAGGGTTTAGGGGCATGGTTCCAGTATGGTTGCAATCAGGAAGCCAAGGAATCATAGTGCCACTAACTCAGGCCCCTAGATTACGCCCTTTTCCTCTTTCCCAATGTTTTAGCCAATCTCCGGGGGAAGTGCAAAGAGGTAGCACTGCGGTGGAAGATAGGCCCGACAGATGGGTAATATAGGAGCCTGAACAAGTAGAACGAAGAAACGTAGAAGACGTTGTGACTATCATAGTATGACCTGCCCCAAGACCATATTCCAATCAATAAAGACGATATGTTTAATAGTTTGTATATTTAAAGAAAAGTTTGGACTGCAAAGGCACGGATGAAGGTTATGGCCAAAGTGTCGCGGTAAGGAGGAGGGGGGGGCAGTTGCATTGAGTTCACTCTCTAAACCCTGAACCGAAACCCTAAACCCCAAACTGTGCTGGGGAGTTGGGTCTTAAGCCTGGTTCTTACGCTTCGGCTTCGGATTCGCATCAAGAAGTAACCGACCTGGAATGAACAAACCCGATTTTCCGTGAAAGGCCTTCCTTCATGCACCCCATTATGTAACCGTTTAGCACCCTTTAAAGGGAACCCTAGTATAGAACTCTTTAAAGGAGCATAGTATCCCCCATAGCAGCAGACCCTTGTTCCGCGAGGGCCAGCCTCCATCGGTGACGCTCGCACACTTCACGACAACATCGGTGCCCTGCCAGGCTGCAAGGTAGATGGTGTTCTTCAGGGTAGAGCTCAGCACCTGCGCGTCTAAGGTCTGAAGTAACCCTAAGGGTCCAAGTACCTAATAATCATATACTCTCCCAAAGAGTAACCTACATAACTACTATCCGAAACCTAAGTACCTGATTCTTGGGTCCTGTGGACCCTTGGGGTAAGCCCTACTATGAGAAGTCGAGCTTCTCCGGGCTTTGGGTTGCTTAACATAGCAAGAAAAGTGGGGCTAAACCCCTGACCCACAAAACCCCTGAACCCCTAATTGGGAGTTTCCGAAAGTAACGGGTACCTTACTATAGGGGTTCTTATAATACGGATCCTACTATTTAGGGTACTACATTAGGGCCCCCTATTTTGGGAAATCCCCAATTCGACCCCGCCTAAACCCTAAACCCTGAACCCTAAACCCCGTCCCCCCAAGTCCTCCTTCAGCTTGAGGTCACGAGATCTCAGCATCCAGCTCGAGTCCCGTCCGCGCACCGACAGCATGGCACGCTGCCATGCCCGGGTCTCCTGGTTTAGGGTTTAGGGTTTAGGGTTCAGGGGTTTAGGGTTTAGGGTTTAGGCTTTAGGGGTTTAGGCTTTAGGCTTTA